AGCCACTTCCCCAAAGACAACACAAGAGTTAAGAGTGCAAGCAGCTGCCCTCAAGTGACAGGACTATATAAATCTCTGTCTCGAGGGCAATAGAAATGAAACTACCTCAAGTGTTATTGGAAAATCCTTCCTTGTTTCTTACTGGGTACAACCAAGCAGAATTAAATCACTGTTTTTTCCTTACTCAGGGCTGTGCATCTTGTAGATAAAGGAAGATAAATGTACAACTGTCCATCTCTGGCAGCTTGTCTGGCTGATGCTCTGTGCACAGGGGCTGGAGAAAACCAACTTCCAGAGTGAGGCAACAACTCATTTGTACTGAAATCAAGTCCTATTTTTCCTTTCAACTAGGGAAGATCCAACATCAACATTGCTGTCATAGCAGCTGCACAAGGAAATAAGTGATTTCCTGTCTGAGCATGTTCCATAACTCAGCATTTTATTTTTGTGCTAACCACAACCAGGTGTGTCACCCCACCCTATGCTGGGGCACTCTACCCCATCCCCTGCCATTGGAAAGACATTGGGAAAACATCATCGGGGCAAGATGTGCCACAAAATGCCTGCCCAGTACTTGTGCCAAATGCCTTTCCTAGAAACGTGCTGCCAAGACAGAGTTTTCTAGACTTTTGGAGTAACCAAGAGCTATCCTTGCAACATATGCTCCTTCCTCCCAGAGTTGTCAACCTAAATCGAGACAAGAAATCCATTCCTCGTGTCCTGGTTTTGGCTGCAGTAGAGTTACTTTTTTTTTCTTAGTAGCTGGTACAGTGCTGTGTTTTGGATTTAGTATGAGAATAATGTTGATAACACACTAATGTTTTAGTTGTTGCTCATCAGTGATGACCCCTAAGTCAAGGACTTTTCAGCGTCTCATGCTCTGCCAGGGAGCCAAGAAGCCAAGAGAGAACGTGACCAGGACAGTTGACCAGAACTGGCCAAAGGGATATTCCATACCATAGAACTTCATGCCCAGTATGTAAAGCAGGGAGAGTTGTCCAGGAAGGGTCAATCACTGTTCAGGGTCTGGCTGGACATCAGTCAGTGGGCGGTGAGCAATTGTATTAGGCATCACTTGTTTTTTCTCTTGGATTTTATTCCTTTCAATCTCCCTCTCTTTTCCACTACAATTGTTTTTATTATTATTACTTTTATTTTATTTTACTCTATTTCAATTGTTAAACTATTCTTAATTCACAGGTTTTACGTTTTTCAAATTCTCTTCTACATCCTAGTGGGAGCACAGAGGGGGTGGTGAGCAAGTGGCCTCATGGGTTTTAATTGCTGACTGAGGTTAAACTATGCCACCTCAGCACAACCTTCCGTCCAAACTTGCTCCAGAATCCAGAAGATAATGAAACATTCTATCTTGCTATGTAAATGATGGAGGAAAAAAAAAGACATCGATCCCTCTTATTTCCTTTCCTTTCTTCAGTAATAATTCTTATAATAAGACAAAAGAGTTAACTTGCATCCTAAAAGGAGTAGATTCTGCTTGGGTGCGGTGCCTCTAATGTCCATGAGAGGGCTATCAGCAAGTGCATTTGGGTTTTCCACCCTCATACAGAAATACAGAAAATGCACTGCCAGCTGATTACAAAACTCACAGGCATCCCCTGCTCCCTCACAAGCTTTTGCACAATCTCTGGCTCACACCAAAGTGCCCTTGCACCAGCTAGAGCAGGAGGCAGCAACTGGGTCCAATGCGACCTCCTCTCCCCAAAGCAGCTCTTGCAGTGACAAAGTCATTAATGACTTCGCAGCATCAGGGGGCACTTCGGAGGTTCTGCTGCCTCCAGCCCTGGCTCCCCACAGGCTCCTGGACAATTTTCTGCATTGTCAGAGTGTCTGAGACAAGTTCCAGGCTAAGGGCTGATTTTCTTAATATGGCAGTTGAAATAAACCACATTTTAATCACGTGCAGTTGAAAGACTCTGTCGTACCCATAATGACGTATTTTGCATCTGATCAGGTTTGAATTTATTCTCATCATTAAATAAGGCAAATTTTACAATAAAACATGCTTTCAAAGTGAAAAAATCGGAGCATTTTAACTGAAAATATGTAAAAATGAAATCTTATCTCTATACGTGTATATTTTATTCATATATGTAACATAATAATCAAAATATTTCATGCTTTTTTCTTCTCTGTATATATCATACTATTACCTTAATCCAAAAGATGCTTTCTAAATTAGACGCAATTTTTGGACAGCACCAGAGAGACTGGGGGGGAACAAGCCATCTGTTAGAGAAAAAGAAAAAGGAAAAGCTGAACCCCAAATCCTTTTCTAGGTCTGAGATTTTGCTACCATTCACTTTTACAATCACCACTAGAGCTGGTGGCTTTTCTGAATGCACCTTGAGGGAAATTCAATCCGTCCTGAGGTCAACATGAATGTCAGCATTACCTAGACAGGCAGGTCCTATTTGAGAGGTGCATGATCTATAGGCTGGTGCTGGTTAATTGCAAAGGGCTGAATGTGCCCTTTAGATTGCTCCTTCAGCTCATCTGAGACTTTGTACATTATCTTTGGGACATTAAGCACGGCAGGATGAGCTCTCCAGGGAAATTTTGCGGTGTTGCCAGCATTCTGATGGCAGGTCCCATGGAACACGATGTACTTCTATCTCCAGCTTCTGGAGTCATATGATCATGTGAGGATCTCAGCTTTCATGACAATGAAGAGTATGTTTCTAGTCATTGAGACTGCAGAGAAAAGCTGGCAAATGTCACCTCCAAAAGGCAAAGGATCAGAGGACAAATGAAAGGAATCTCAGCTGCATCAAGAGACTGATTTTTAATTTAACTGCATGGCTTAAAAACAGCACAGTTTTGAGGACCAATGTTAAATTTTGAATACTTGGAATAAGAAATAATATAATGAAATTCTTGAAGAGTGAAAAAATTGCTCTTTGCTTTTTTTTTCTTCTCTCCCTGCCCTTCTTCCTTCCTTTCTAAGGCTCTACGCTCTTTGATGCCTCTCAGTCCAGAGCTGCCATTGGAGGAGGATGCTGTTAACCAGTCAGACGGAGTGTGAGTACTGGGAATTTTCCAGGTTTACAAAACGTTTTCCTTGCATCTGCCAAAGCTGACGACAGACGCTGCTGAACACGTGCCACTGGAAAATCACAAGCAGGCCGACTGCCAAACATGCAGAGCCCTTTGGACGGAGGCACGCAGGGTCTTTTGAGTGTGAAAGGACGCTGCCGGGTCTGAGCCATCCGGGCGGCGCTGCCGGCTGACCCCGGACACGTGTCAGCCCACGGCTGCCTTCCCAGCCAGGAGGGCTGGGGCTGAGCCAGGCATTGCCCGAAGATCCATCCCGGGAGCTGCCGAGCTGCACGTCAGAGCGGGTCTTGAGCGAGGACTGTCCGCCTGCCTTCAGAAGCCGGCGTTTATTTGTAATGGAACAGGTTAAGTGGAAGTAAAGTGTTCAGCATGGAATAAGCAATCTCGGCTAATGGCTTGTTGACATTCAATTGCAGTTCAGCAGGGACATCTGCAGCACCCCTTGAATCTTGTGCCAAGCCATTAAACCCTTCTCACTTGGCAATAGGCATTTGAAAAGTGAGGCTAAAACGAAAGCTGCTGAATAATTAGTCTACTGTGAGCATGTGAAGAAGAGTGTCACCGGTGTGGTGTGGGGAATTTTAAATTCATACTGTACATGTACGTCCATACTCTCTGGCAGTGCCCAAAACCAGGAGAAAGATACCGAAAAGTATGGAAGTTTTTGTCCCAGCCTCAAATGAGTTGTGACACACAGGATTTGGTGAGGGAGTCCATTTGCCCATGGTATTGTAGAAAAGAAGGAGATATTTTTTACAATTTGATGAATCTCATTACTGTCATAATTTCTCATCCAGAGAAAAGCTGTCGTGAAAGAATGAATCTATGGAACTTAGAGAGATCATAATTTTTCACAGGATCAAAGAATGGTTTCGGTTGAAGGAAACCATTAAAAATCATCTAGTCAAAGCTTCCTGTTGTGGGCAGGGACATCTTTCACTAGATCAGGTTGCTCAAAGCCCATCCAACCTGACCTTGAACACTGGGCAACCTGTCCCACTGTTTCACCACCCTCATTGTAAAACTTCTTATTTATATCCAGTTTTGATACTATGTGTCCAGCTGAGAACCTCATCTTACATGTACAGAGAAGAGTGGAATATTCCCACATGAAGACACACCTCTGTATACAACTGCTCTCATTTGAGTTGATTTCTGTCTTCATGCTTTTGCACTGAAGCCAAATACTTCCATTAAAACTATTTATTTCCACAGGAGATGCTCAATGACAACCATTTTTGGAATATGACTTTCAGGGAATTATTCTTGATTTATGGCAACTTAATGAAAAAATTGAATAAAGCTCCATCTTACAGAAGGTTTTGTCAAAACACTTAGGGCCTAAATTCTGCCTTCCATTAACAATATGCCTTTTAATCAGATGCTTGGAATTCATAGTTTAATGTAGATTATGTATGCATGTGTTATGTGCCAAGCCTATATATACCTGTTGGAGGGAGCGCCAAAAAAACCCAAACCGTCTGTTTTGGATGTTAACAGGAAAGCACAGGGAAGCTAGAATTTTTAGGCACTATGTATAGCCAAGAATTTGGTGCATGCTCAGTGCGGAAAGGATGAAGGGAGGAAATACAGGTGGATTTATGCCTTTACAGAACCAGCCAAGCTGGGACAGCCTCACAGCTTGCTGCCTGTGCCCCTCAGAGGTTGTTGCAGCTTTATGTACCGAAACGCTGCCTGGGGCTGACAGACTACCAGCAGGACTGATTAAACCAGCCACTGGAAAAATCCCCAGGAAGCTAGTCAAAACATAGCATTTCCAGCGCTGAAACACGAGCCGCGTTAGCTCCTAGAACCGACTCCTGGGTTTGGTTGTTTTAAATCACCCGTTCCCACAGGCGGGGGCACAGCAGCCCGTGGTGGGGAGGTGGCGGCACAGCGGGTGCCTCTCACGGCGCGGCAGAGCCGAGGCTGTGCGGGGCTGTGCTCAGGTGAGGCACAACCCACCAGCCGGGTGCTACTGACCTGCGGGAATTCGCTGAGGGACTTATGGCAATGACAGTGGCATCGGGACATGTAAAGGACTCCTGAGTCACTACATAATCAAGAAGCATAGAATTTCCTTCTAAGCTTTCTGTTCTTCAAAATTTTCTTATAAAGTAAAGGGCTTATTTGTGAATATGATGAATGGCTCGTGAAATGGCTTGTACAGCAGGATGCTTACAGTAAAATGGATTTGGAGCATACAAGGCAGCATTATTATTATTCCCCTGCCTGCCTGGCTTCTTGCCAGCCTCCTGCTGCCTTCTATCTCCCATCACAGGAGGCTGGAAAAATTCCCCCCAGGATTGATTAACATGAGAGAGACCTGTGAAAAATGGAGGCGGTATGAAGGAAGGAGGAGATGGTGGAAGGAAGAAACCAGGCTTGCAAGCACTGACACCAGCAGTTGAGCGCCTGGAGAGGTGAGAGAACGATGAGAGTCTCTTCAAGAGGGAATGAGAAGGAAATCCCAGGCAACTTCTCTCTCTACGGGTGTTTCAGCCCTCCCACAAAAATGCTGCTTCAATACAAGAAAAATTCAGGAGTGGCAAGGAGAGCCACCTGCCCTGGAGCACTGTCAGTCAGCAAACTGATGAAGCACTCCAGGGCAGGAATTGGACACATGGACATGCTCCCAAATAATTCCCAGGCACAGTTCAGGAGTGAGGGTAGTCCAGAGATGGTTACAACCAGGTCATACATCCACCAGGGTTTGGAGGCTGAGGCTTTTTGAGCAGAAAGTCAGATAGCCCCATGTCAGCTGGCTCAGAGTCCAGGAAGGTCCCCAGATGCATTTCATTTGCTGAAGCTGAGGAAACTAAGGTTTTCTGCAGCATTTTATATTACATTTTACATTGTGTCCATATTGTCACTCAACACATTGATAAGGTCTGGAAAGTTAAGAAAACTTTTTAAAAATTAAACTGTAAAAAGTCTTAAAGCAAATCTTCTACCCGATTTCTAAAAATCATCCTGTGAGGGCCAGCTTTTTACAGTTCAAGTACTTGAAAGTCTGGACTTATGAGGTTGTGTATAGGAGATTCTTTTCTTCTGGTTTCCCCGTGATATTGTTTTCCTAGGATAATTTGCCAACATTACAATACCTTTATCTCAAATGGCATCCTCATTTGCTCAGTTTCCCTGCCAAAAGTCATGCTCCTGTTGAAGCCCTGATACCTGGCAGGTATTAGTAGTGCCCCAATTTTTTCCCTGATTAGAAGCAACAAGAAAAAGCCAGGGGTGTCGCTGTGCACCTACTCAGTTTGTTTCTGCTAAGTGCTGAAGCAGTCCTGAGGAAAGATGTTAAACATGTAGCTACCAAATTATAGTGCCAAGAGTACAATTTGCTTTTTCTATGTGAAGATGAACTTGGACAAACTCTTGACTTGCACCAAAAAGAGAGCTCACCCTTGCAATTGGGAGACTATGAACTTTTGGACTAAGGATTTATGGATTTTTTTTTTTTAACTGAGTAGCATTTGCATTTAATGACATTAAGAAAGGCTTTTTTTATTTACGTAGGCTGCTTGAGACCTGTTTAGTTTGTGTTTTGTTTTCTAAAGAATTTAATCCTGTCAGATAATAACTGAATTAAATACACAGCAACACTTTAATTTGCTTGTGCCCTCTGTTTGAGATTTCGCTTTACTTGCTGTTTTCACTACATTTAATCTGTATGTATTTTTGCAACTTTTGATCTAAAATACATGACCTACTCAGTGCATTTCTTTGTTTTCAAATTCTTAACAGATTCTCTAAGAATATCTATTGTGTCTTGTTTGGCAGACAAATATTACCTGCTTGACCATCTGTATTCGTGTACAGTTATTCCACCCAAGCACACAGACTTCCTTTCTCACCATTTAGAATGAGAAATATTTGTACTGTTGAATAGATTAATTTTTATTTTGTGGCCTGATGTCCATGACCCGGATTTGAGTTATAAACCTGTCATTTGCCAGGGCTCATTATCCACTGATTGCATAAGCTATTGTTACCAGGATAAATTTAGAATTCATCTGAAAATCACAATTAATCATTTGACCACCTCTACAGATAAGGTCAGCCAACATTTCTTGTCTCTAAGTTCAATAAGTTTGCTGCCAGAATATCTTCTGAGTTTTAGCTGCCTTAATTTGTGTTATAATCAGAAATATCTCATTTCAGATTCAAATTACAACACTAACTCAAGTATGTTGGCAAGTCTTTTAAAGTCTCACATATTCAAAATATGTGCATAGACAATAAAGTAGCAAGATCTGAAATAATTACTATTTATACCCTTGCGTTGTTTTCTCTAAAAGCAGTACTTTAGACTTAGATATTGTTTTCAAAATGATTAAGCTGACTCCTGAAATGTTTTTCCTAAAATGTTTTTGTTTTTTCAAGTCCAATAATGCTTCATGACTATTTCCATCTGGTAGTAATAGTCCTGTTTATTCTGGAACATCTTGGTTTATATTATGCCTCTGTGTCACAAAATCTATTGAAATCATGCAAAACACCAATCTCTCTGCCAAAGTCAATAAAATTACTACTTGTTGAAGAAAACAGTAAACAACAGAACTTCATAATGATGTCATTAACACATCCTTTGTCAACAGTTGGGAAATCTGGAACCTTCAAGAAAAATAAAGAAGGAAAAAAAAAGTAATGCATTCAGCTCAATTGTATAATTAATTATACATAAACTTCTAATGAGATTTGGTTAAAAATGCAAACAATTTTATAGCAGCATGTAGAGTGGATGCTGCGTTTTAATCATCCAACAAATAAATGGACACATTTTAAAATTTCTTTAATGCCGAGAGTCAGTATTCTACGACAGGCCCTGAGCTGACCTTGAGTCCAGTTCAGGAGCCCCATTTGGTACATTTGGGAACTCCCAAGGGATTTTGTCCTACCCTGCATTTTCTGCTGGGAGCAAAATTCTCCTCTTTGTGTTTGGACACTCCTGAGATGTTGCCTCAAACCACCTCTTGCTTTGTGCCAGCACAAGCTTTTTTCACATCCATTTGGTACAAAAAATTCTACTTACGGGTTTATTTTTTGTCCTGATCAGTTCAAACGTGTGACAGTATAACCTCCTGCAGAGAACAGCGGAGCCATGGATGGAGCATGTTTATTTAATTGTCAGTGCCAACCAAGCAGCACGTAAAACACCAGAAAACCCAGCAGTAGGCTGAAGTGATGGACAGATATTGCCTGAAGTAGCATGATATGGTCAAAACTGAATTTACTAGATTAGTTCTCAGAGATTACTGTCAAAAAAAATGAAGAGAGGGAAAAGGGAAGGGCTTTTCTGATTTCTAGATTCATCAAAAAGTAAATTAATAATAGCACTACAGAGATGTGCTTTGCTGTAAGGTACAGATCACATGCAGTACTGAATACAGTGAGACTTGTGTATATTCAGAGATGCTACTGACAACCCACACCAACCTTAAGTGCTCTGGCTGCAGCAGAGAATATCTTCTAGCCCCTTTCCACCTATTTTCCACTTCAAATCAGCATCTGTGGCATTCTTAATGGCTTCGCTTCATCTAAGAAATTCTGTTGGGTTTCAGAAGTGACAAACACAAATTAATAATAGTTTATTAAATTAATAATAACCTCATCATGAAAATGGGCAATTTCCACCATGTGCACTGTCCCAATACGCCACTAGATGGTAGAACAGGACTCTGCACAGTCCTGCAGCCACCCAGCATGCCCAGGCAAACCCTTCCAATAAGCAGCTGAATCAATTCCGCGTGAAGATTCATAACTCTGCAGTGCAATTTACAATTTTTTTTCCAACTGCATACATCATATTCTTTGTCTTTTAGAGTTAATTGTTATCCTCCAAAACTCTATCTTCAGCAATTACTTTCCAAAGTGTACTCAGAGAACAAGGTACACACCACCATCCTGTACAGGGGAGGTTCCATAGTACCTAGTTAACACCTACCTAGTTAACACCTACAGAGTGATGAGCTATGAAAATTAAGCCATAGAATTCGCCTGTAAATTGTGATCCCCTATGGAAATCACACTGCCTGGGAGGCAAGAGCAGCTATAGGACACTTCTGCTCTGAAACATCCTCCAGAGGAGCTACTGCCTCACTGAGAAGGGCTTCTTTCTCTCTTGCCATTTGGAAAAGCACACAGAAATGTGGAGGGTAGGGAACGTGGTTACCTGCCCTTCAGTGGCTTCCCCAGGAATAAAGGAGAATAACAAGAATTTTTACAGGTGCAGTAGTAGCAAATTAAACTTCAAGGCAGCAAGGGTACTAATAAGCACCATAATAGTTCAGAAGTAACTAAGCTGCTGTGAGTACATTAAATAAAGGCAGTGTAAAATACCTAGAATTTGGGTCTTTTAAAAAAATTGATATAGTATCTCAGAAAATCTAACTTGTATTAACTACAGATCTTAAAACCTGCTTGGATAGGAGAGACAAATGGCACATGCAGTGGAATATATCTCAAGGACTTTTAGCAAAGATCAAACAAACTAAACAGTGATTTCCAAAGTCTTGGAGAAAAGGCAAAGGGGTGCTACAAAAGGAACAATGTAACTTCGTGTTTTTATTAGAGAGCCAATGAGAAATAAATGGAATGGTAAATATGTTCGCAGGTCTAAAGAGGAAAGATTTAAAGCATCAGAGTGCACAAGCAAATAAAATTATTTAGATACTAGAACACAGACAGGCAGCTAACAAAATGCAGCCTATTACATCACCAGAAACTACCTGTAGACAGTTATGTGGCACGCAAGATTTATTTAATATGGGAAAAAGAAAAGCACTTTCTCCACCTGAAGTTTCCAGACCTGCCAAATAGACAGCATTGTGGACAGAGCAGTCCTGTGGAATGGTGCCTCCCCTGCCAGATAAGTATTAACTTAATCACCCACTCTTGCTTTATCTATAAACACAGAGTTCAGGACTTCCCTGAATTAATCCTTGTTTGGATTGCATAGGGGATTGGATGGGCTAAGAATATCATGAGCCATCAGTTTTTTTCCACTGCTATCACAAGCAACAATATTGCAAATATTCTGAACTCCTTCTAAAACAACTTTCTTTCAGTGTTTGCCTTCTGTTGGAACATATTTCCAGAATCTCATATTCACACCTTATGTTCAACATAAATTATATTCTTTGATTACATGCAGTGAGTCCTTTGGTAAAACTGCCTTTTAGTACAAATCTCTGCCTTCTCTGTGTCTACTCTCTTGTGAACTCCCAGCCAGCAGTAATACCTGCAGTTACCCTTCATTTTGCTAAACCACCAAAGTTCTTTCACTCTTAGAAAATGAGCTCTCTGTGACCCTTAATCATCCAGATAGTTTGAATTAATCTTCCACAAGCATTAGTAAATGAGACTTGCACGGTGCTCCAGGGGAAGCTCGCTCACTCCTCACGCAGGGGCACAAGCAGTTTGCTGTCTCTGTTGCAGACACGCCTCTGGGGCAGCCAGGAATCCCACAGGCCTCTTCCACAGCCTTGTCAGACACCATGAGACCAGCAATATAAACATCTTTGTCCTTTTTTATTTTCCAGAGGATGGGACCTGGTATACTGAGAAACAGGGTTTTTTTTCACTAATAATATTGATTTTCAGTTAAAGAGCAATCAGGTACCTACTTTCTAATTAAATCAGTGTTTACATCAGTTTTATATCCTCTCAGAGTCATCAAATATCAGCCAAAAGGTCCCAGAACCTGGAAGTATGTTACAGTGTTAACTATTATCAAGCCAGTCTTTTGATCAGCTTAAGCATCAGCTAATCAGCAAAAACTGACTCCCAAACGACTGTGTAGCTTGACATTAACTGTATTGTTCTAATTTAATTCTCTATCAAGAGGGTTCTGCATCAGTCACTCCATCTCTTTTCTTAGGAATAGAGATAAATGGATAGGCCTATATTGCCATAGCATTCAGACATCTGGATCTTAACCAGTGTTTCATAGATGACCAGCAGTCATTGTTCATATTAAGAGAGCTCCTTTATCAGCCCTGCCCAAGGTGGGGTTGCTGGGTATTGACAACTGATATAGAAGCTTTAGCAGATGTGACTCAGCACTCCCCTGAGACATGGTGGAGTGGAAAGGATTTATTACATGATTAGCATATTAATACTGTCCTGCTTTTTCCCAAATACAGAATACAATATTGGCTGTTCCTGCTTTATTTTCTCTCTCTTTTTTTTTTTTAAGGTCATTCCATCGTTTCTGTCTGTTTACTTCAATATAAGCTCTTCTTGTCCTCCTGTGTTTCAAAAATGCATAGCTGTTGTCTGCAAGCCTGTAGACCATATACTGGTCCCTTGATCCATTTGCTTCCTTATCACTTTTCTTCTTATCACTCTTCTGCAATTTATATTATTATCAGCTTCCCCTTTCTCCCATTTGTTCTATATTTTTTATACTTATGTCACTTTTACTTTAAGCCAAGCTGATTTTTCAATCAAAATAATTCTCTTTTTCTGTAATAGGCTTTTTTAGTTCTCCTAAACAGTATGCAGTCTTCCTGCTTAAACTCTTCCTTGCACAGATTGACCCAGAATTTGTTTCAGGTTATGAGATTAGCCCTCAGGAAGGACTACTTATATTTTAATGTTTGATATCACCTTGGAATGCAATCCACTAGCAAAAATGTTCCAAAACACTTTTAACCTCGGCAGACAGATAAGTTATATGGAGAGAAAAATTAACAGTCTTTTCCAATTTTGAATTAATAAGCCCACAGATAGAAGACTGTATATAGTTCAGAGTACATCCATACTGGACATGTGAAAAGACTTGAGGGAGAACAAACATATAAATCAGGACTGAGAGCATTTTTTAAGAATGCCTTAAATAATGAAATAGTTTTAACCAACTGACAAGTGAAAAAGGAGAGTAATCAAACAAGGGTCTATATGTATTTTTAGGGAGATACATTGCTTGTAGGATTTAAGTAGAATATGGGGAAGAGGGAAGGAAGAGAAAAAATTACAGAGGTATATTGGATGAAAGGGCAGGGAGTTGCTTCGTTGATTTAGGTTGAAATAAGATTTTATATGCCACTTACATATGGAACAGATGTTCTTCAACGTGGAGAAGATGAGAAAAGAGATATTTCATCTTCATCTGTCCCTGTTTTTGTATTCCTATTTTACTCCTTATAGTCACTGGCTATCCAGGCAGCTAAGCTAACCAAGGTAGCTTGAACCCTCAGTGCTGCTTCTCTGGATCACGGGGGATTTTTTGTGAGATTCATGTACTATATAAAAGGAAAGAGGCCTCCTTTCCACAGCTCTAACTTGGACTATCTCCAGGATCCCATAGCAGCAGGCAGATGTCAGCACCTCTTTTGGTCATTGTACAGAAAGCTAGGGTCAAAAATCCTCCTTGAACTGTGTGAGAATGTCAGACCCTCTTGCCAATGTTTTGCAAGTGCAGCCTCAGGCCAGCTGAAACACTGACTCTTTGCTATTGTTCTCACATATAGTCCCCAACTGGGAAGCTTCCTCATGTATTCCCTTTGGCTGGCCTCCCAAGACTTATTCACACTAGTAACATCTGTCACAGAGCAAGCTCAGTCAAAGTTGACCCCAGTCTCCATAGTCCTGACCAGTCCTTACCTATCAGTAACAGGTCCATGAAACACCTCAGCTTGTCAGCCCTGGGACTGAAGAGCTGCACCAGCCCTCAGCAGTTTATTTAGAGCCAAGGCTCTGATGCACCAGGGAGAGTTGATCCCCGTGACCCGCAGCACATCACCACCACAGCTGAGCACACATCTGCTGCTCCGTGGAGGCTGCTGGCCCCCTTCAGCACCAGCTGCTGCACCCACTAACTGCACCCAGGAGCTGCACTCCAAGCCAGCTCTTCCATTGTCATCTCCTTGGCACCTGCTGCAAGGCTGCCTGGCGGCAATAAGGAGGCTCAGCTGGATGAAACCTCCCAGCACCCTTTGGCCAGGGTCCACTCACAGATCTTCCTATAAGCTGTCAGATCAGGTAGATTCTATTAGGAGCAGCTTTCCTTAGCCACCCCTTCCTTAGAGCATCACCAGACACCCTGATGTTCCTCAGAAGGTTCCCTGGAGTCCCCCAGCAATCCCTGAAGAAGCTTCTAAAAGATCTTGAAGAGGAGCCAGGAAACTGTGGCAGTGAGTGCTGTGCCCATGGCCACCTTGGCTCTCTGGCCAGGGAGGAGGGCAGAGGGTAGCCTCTCTCACAGCCCTTCTTCGGCATGGGTTCTACTTCTTCACTTTTACTGATGATTAACACATCAGCAACAAAGCACAGTCACAATCAAATCACATCACAAATTTAAAAAATAGTTGATGAGATTTTGGCAAACACATGAATTGTCAAGTGCTCCTGCCTTGTTTGCCATCAAATCATCAAGCTAAAAGTATGGCACACGATTGTCCAAAGTGTGTAGGGGGGTAAGGGGATGGGGAAGGCGAAGAAGTCACTGCTTACTCACTGCACAAAATGGCCAATGCTGTTCCCCCTTGTGACAGTCCCTGCACCACTTCCCCAGCCCACAGAAAGGTCTGGGGCTGAAAAGCCCCAGCTGAGGGATCTGTGGGAGGGTTCATCCCCATTGCCAGGTGAGGGGGTGTGGCAGGGCCATGGGGTGCCCCTATAAAAAGGTGCTGCTGAGGCTGCTATAGTGGGTAGGTGTTGGTCCTGGTTCCTGCTTGTCTCTCCCAGGATGGCTGGCTTGAGAGTGGACTTCAGCATGCTCCTGGAGCCTCTGGGCTTTGTTAAGGTCCTTGAGTGGGTGAGTAAGGCTGTTTCCTCTCCTTCCCCAGGCCTGGCTTTTCTCCTGTGCCTGAGCTGGGTAGAGCTGAAGAGGTGTGAGCTAATGAGCTGCTACCTCTCTGTCCTCAGTTGCTGGTAGTGAGCGTCCAACACGAGGCTGCTTGTCAGCCAAGCCCTCTGGTTGGCAGTGAAGAAAACACTTCTGCAGATACATAAACTCAATGTGTTAATTACAAGTGTGTTACAGCACCTTATGGTGCTGTGTGTTGCATGTTCTGATGATCAAGGGTTTAGTGTTCGGCCAGTGACCAAAGGGAAAATAAGAGCTACTTACTGAGTTAAGTTGATGTGTGATACTCTGAGCGTGTACCTTCTAGTTATTCTAACTTACAGTTGTGGATATCTGAGAGTTGTAAAAATATTTCCCTGATCAACTGCAAGAAATACTGTGCTGGCTGTTAGCATTTAAAAAAGAAAGAAAACCAAAAACCCAGACAAAAGACTTTTTCTGTGCAACTAAAAATAAACACAAAGTGCTTTCAAATGGGCTTTAGTTAGCAGTGTTGCTCATGGTTTCAGGTTACAGAAACTCAAAATTTTCTTTACTTCTTGATATCACTTCATACTTCAGCTTTACTAGCTTCGTCCCTATTTCTTGTCATCTTTAGCTGTTTCCGCTGAATGTAGAGTTTGTTTCCTTTGAGCTTAAGTGATGTGCACTAATGTGTCTGTGTATCAATTCCTATAGATCTTTGCCATTTTTGCTCTTGCCACATGTGGAGGCTTTCAAGGTGAAACTACCCTTCTAGTTTCCTGCAAAGGTGTGGTAAACAAAACAGTTACAGCTGCTTTTGCTTATCCATTCAGGTGAGCATTAGCTCTGCAGTGGTCACTCAGTGATTATTTATTATTCTCTTTTTCCTCATCTGTCTCCTCATGATTATGTACTTATTGTATATATCTAAATGAAGATGTGAAACTTCTGGCTTGCTCTGTAGGAGCAATAAATAAATACTTAGTTGTAATTGTTCAAAGCACTGTAGCTGCTAGTGCTTTATAGAAAGAAGTAGGTAGAAATGGCAATAGGCTGTGTTACTGCTTTGTATCTCTCTACCTTAAGCTTTAGTCTAGCAGTGCATGAATGCTACAGAAAGTAATTAGTAGGCAAAACAATACAATTAATTTTAACAGCCTAATTCTTCATCAATTTGTAGCTGCTTTGAAGGCCTAGATAAGATTATTTTGGATGTGCCATTATCCAACATTTTTTGCAAAGACTGAATGGAAAATACATACTTCTCAGTTTATTCCACCATTATCTTTCTGAGGGTGTTGGGCACAGAAAAACTAAATACTCCAGTGTCACTGCAGTGCTCTTGTAGAGACAAGCTCCTGTTCTGGAGCAGGAGGACAAAGGCTTCCTCTTTGCCCTTGCAGCTGCAAAGTGCAACAAGCACGGGGTCGGTGTTTCATATGTGTTCAATCAACATAAGTATTGAAATGGATTTGGAAGCCACCTAGTAAAAACCACTATGAAAGTATAGAATTTGGCCACAAAGCCCAACACTGTTAGCAGCATTTGGAGGGAAGAGTGGGGATCTGAAGTGATTTTGTACTGGTTACTGAGTGGTCACTGCTAGTCACACGAGTTTTACTCAACTTCTGTGCTTGCATTTTCTTGTAGCTGTAATGCAACTGTGCCTTTTAAGTCTTGATCCCCTTGTTTAATTGCCAGTCTAAAATTAATGTTGTTAAGTCTGCTCCCAAATTGGGGTTTCTTAGTTCAACTCAATAAGATTACGATCCTTCTCCTGAAGGTACTATTGTAGATCTCAATGTAGGACAGGGAACAATCTTCAGATAGCTTGACAAATATTTGTTGTATAACTGCTACATTATACAAATATAAATAATCTTATAAAGTAAACTTACACAACCAGAATGCTCAAGCACTGTTATTGTGAAGCATGACAGTATAAAGTTTCTACTGTATAACAAACTCTAACTACATGAAGGATATGATCTTTGCAGGTTGAATACTGTTGAATTTAGTGCACCAGACCCAAAAGGCTGTGCTGGTACTTGGACTGACGTCCATCTTGTGGGCAACTTCTCCTCTTCTGCACAGTTCTTTGTTACGCTTGCGGCGTTGGTGTTCCTCTACTGCATTGCTGCCCTTGTGGTATATATTGGATACAACCATGTGTATCAGCAAAATAGCAAGTTTCCACTAACTGTGAGTAATACTAAGATATTTTAATGTTTTGACTTTCAAACCACAAAGAGGTGAGGAATACTGCTAATGCAAGAATAACTCGTGGATATTCAGTAGTTCTGAAAGTTACATGGTGTGTGAGCACGAGTATCTCGGACTAGTTGCTACAGCACTCCAGCAGAAAAGGGGGCTCAAAGCCCTCAGACTTTTGTGGCATCATATCTTACGCAGTTATTGAAGCAGAGTGGAATGAATTTTCACTTTCTCAGGTGAACAATGTCTTCACCACAACTTTTTTTTTTTGTATCATGTATTTAAATATACAATTGTTTCATAGGTGTGACCTCTACTGTTAATCTCTGAGAATTTTCCCTGTGTAGAGCACCTGCTGTGCAGATGTAATTAGCAGAGGGAAGTAGTTACCTTGTGAATTTTAGTCACCTTAAATATCGAAGCCTAGAATGAGAAATTTCAGAGCATGCTCAGAAATGGATCCAGTGACCTCTCAGGCCAGATCTAAATCATCTGCCCCTTCTCCCCTGTCACCCCCACTTTTACTGAACTTTGACTTAAATTTCTATAATATGAATGTTAGGCATCTGATTTTTAGAAACGGATTTCTTATGAAGGATGAGATTGCTTATGTTTGATAGATGCAAAAGTTTTGTACCTGATCATCAACATTGTGCTGTAATTGCAACATTGTTAATGACTAAACTTGCTTGTGATCATTAGCACTGATGCAGATACGTTGGATATAATTGATACTGTCTCTGCCTTGCTCCTATGTATATTCCTGCATTTTTTAACCTACTAACAAATACTTCTCATGTGTAGGACTTGGCTATCAGTGTCTTGACAGCCATTTTGTGGATGGTCAGTACTTTTGTTTGGGCAAAGGCACTCGCTGGCATCAAAATGTCCACGGAGGCCAACATTATTCCAGGAATTGAAGCTTGCAAAGCACCAGGAACAACATGTAATTTTGTTTCTGTGACCAGCATGGGAATTCTGAACTTGTCTGTGGTATGTATGCCTTTCACCATATGGGTACAATAAATGTGTTGGAAAATAACAAATGGCACCTGAGAGTCCTGTTCTACTGATTACATATATTGCTTTGTGTTAAAATTGCTTTATGTGTTATTAGTCATTCAGGCCCATTAATAATGTGGTAAAACACCAAGCTAATTCTTTTCTTTAGAAGAAAACGTATTTCTTTGAGGAAACAAGATAATGAACTTGCACGATCTATTTCTGGAGCTGTTAGATGCAGCATTTTCAGACACATTTGAGTCCCTAGACAAGAGCACCTTAAAATATGTTACTGAGCCACCCAAGTGGTTTGCTGACTGATATAAGTAAGGAAGAAACACTATGATTGCTGCTGTCTTTTGGTGCCAAACCCAGCTTTTTAATCAACTGTGAGAATTGTTACACATCAAATCAAGGTTCCTTGTAATGCAATTATATAAAGCTCATGTTCAGAGAAAGAACGCTTCAGAGCAGAGCAAATTAGGCTTATTGTATGATCTTCATAGTGAATTCTGCTTTTCAAAGCTCTGGCTGTTATTCATTGTCCCAATAATAATTAATCATGTGCTCAGGGAGCGCATATGCAGAGGTGCTGAGTGACTGAAAAGAATTTGTCTAATTCTGTGCAAAGGATAGAGAAAGTCGACTATCTGATCTCCAAAGAAGTCTGTTAAAATAGCTTGTCATACTCTAAAGAGTGTCAAAATGTCTTTTCCAAGTCAAAAGTGTGCCAAAATTGTGGCTGTTTATGGTTTGCAAGGCATATTGTTTTGTTTTGCCTTTTTTTAAAAAAAAAGGCAAAACAACTGAACACAACAAACTCAATCTCACTTTTTTTTTTTCCCCACCCTACAGGTATTTGGCTTGCTTAATGCAGCTTTATGGGGAGGAAATGTTTGGCTTGTATACAAAGATACCAAATTGCACAACCAATGGAACAGAATTTCTGAAAGTCCAACTGAAAGAGAAGTATAAAAACAAGGTGATACTTTAAAATGCTTCCACTTTTACACCTCACTGCCAAGAGCATGGATTCATTAGGATTTGTTTCAATAATAACAGATAATACTTCATAAAAACTTCTGGGTTTGTACTACGGTTTGACATAAGGTCTTGCATACTCCAATTGAAGCATTTAATTATCTTGAAATATATTATGCCTTTTGAAGTTGTGCAGCTCTTTATTACAGTTTTTGAAGAGCAAAATGATGAGGTTATCTGGATGTTGACCCATTCTGGTTCTTAATACAGCCTTATAGGAGAGATGGGTGAGAAGCAACTATATCTGTGTTACTACTGCTCCATCTTGAGTTCTAACAAGCCTTATCTGAAAGATGAAACCAGGGCATGCAAAAATGCAATTTGGTTTCTTCCTATCACTAATACCTTGCAAAAATCACCTGAGCAGACCTTATAGCTCTGTCAGAGTTGCAGCCATGACATGTAGGTTTCCAGGTACTCCAGATCATGGTATCAAACCTGCTGACAGGCCTATCAGGAAGGACATTACGTCTGTGTTCAATATGTTGTTACTATGTAATGGTTTGGGATGATCTCCGAACAAGGAGATTTTTTGGATGGGTTTATACTGAAACTATAAGATGAGGGTTTGTGTGTGTTTGTGTAATAGATGAGTTAAACACTTAAGGCAAAGTTGGGGAGGAAAAATAAAATATGGGCCAAAACTCTTATAAATACTGTAGAAATCAAAGTTGATATATTGTAACTGCTAGTGCCTGAGCTTCTGTGTATTCCCTTTGAGGTGCATGAACAACGTTTGTGTGTGAAATAACATAACTGGAGATGTCTGAATATGAATAATTTTTTCATTGATGTTGTTCAGCTCATCCATTGGAAATAATATGTGGGTCTTCTCATGTGGGCTTCTTGGTTAAGGTGTCTGACTGTGTGAATTGCCCAGAATGAATGTTATGGCAAATCTAATAAACAAGCTGTTCACAAGCTGTTTTGATTTGTTTAAACTGTTTGTGATGAAAATAGACATAGTAGCATGTATAAAACACAAATCCTAATTGTGCCATGTGTCAGAGCTACTGACTTTCTGATAGTAAATTTACAGTCCAAAGAGTATAATAAAGGCTATATGACTGCTGAAAAATTGTGTCTTGTGTCCTTACTGCTGTAAGTGATGCAAATGTCTTGGTTTTGTAGCTTCTGGGAGATGGCTTTAGGTATTGCTGACCTTACCAGCTGAATGAGTTACCTGTGCTACAGAAGTGATTTTTCACAGTGAAGCCTTGGGTTTTTTGTAGAGGACTATCTATCACTCCTGCAAACTATGGCTGTCTGATGCTGCCCAACACTTCTGTCAGCCCAAAGTGAAGGCTTTTGTTACTTATAATTATCCAAAATGTCATTTGAATTTCCTTTTGGAAGAGGTAAGAAGTGCAATGTTCGGGTGTCATTTTCTGAAAGTGCTTCTGTTTCTTCCCTATTCCTGGATAGGGGATTTGAAAGCAATGACCTTCTGCTGTTTTCTGTTTAACAGTATTAGCAATGATACTACTGTGAGAAAACAGGCTGCCTTTCCTTGGTGGTTACTCATGTACCAAGTATTATCCCACCTTACTAAGACCTCTTGAGGGAAGAAAAGAGAGAAGCAGTATGTAGTTTAACACTTGCACTAAAAGTACAGCACTCAGAAAAATAATGCATTTTTCTCAGAACCTTCCCTCTGTGTCTTTGACCTTTTCCTGATGAGAACTGCCTCTCAGGTTGCAAAAGACTGGGGCAGAGGGTTTAGGAAGAACAATATTATTCTTGCATTTGGAAATGAGATATGAAAGCAGTTACTTCTACAATGAGTTTGTTTGCAGGGTTTTTTTATAGCAACACTGGGCTGTGACCTAAGGGGCTGATGAAACTGTCAAATGGTTTTGACCATGAAATGGTTTTTAGCTTCACACTCAAAAGTCTTTAAACAGATTGGTCTTACTGAGACATTGACTCAGCTCTCAGTGTCCTTGCTTGGGTAGATGTTAATGCAAGTGGACCATGGCATGTATGTTTTTCCAGTAGCCCCACACTGCTTGCCCTTCATTTACCATGAGGAAATAAATTATGGCTGGATAGACTCCTGTCACTCCAGTGGTCTGAAACTGGGTCTTGAAGCTTCTCTGGAAGTATTAATGATAAAAGGTGAATGCAAAGTTTTTCTTTCATCTCTATTACCAGGCCCTACCCAGCAGAATTGCATTGAACCATAACTGCAGTTTGACTCTCAGGAAAAGTCTGTACATAAAGCAATTACAATGTTTTGGTGCTAGCTAAGAGAGAATGCAAAGCTTCTATTGAGATTTAAAGTACTGAATTAGTTTAGTTGATTAGAAATACAAGGTGTTATTTTAAAGTGTTCTGTTGCTAGGTGTTCTGCCTCTCAAGTGGCCCTGCTGACAACGACTTTTGAGGAGTCTTTTCTGACCTCTTCACTTGCATCAGTTTATTGTTCCAAATACTAACTTTAAATTTTGAATCCTCACTCCTCCTTGAAGTGAGTTCTTCTATTATCTAAGGTTCCTCTGAACTGACAGTTGTTCTGGCTTGTTCTGTAATGTTATATCTATATCACTGTGAATAGCTAGGAAGAGAGGGACAGAGAAAAGTTGGGGAAAGAAAATTTACTTTGCTGTATGTGGGATTTTTTTTAATTTTTTTTTCTTTCAAGTCAAAACTGCTGGACCTTTTCTGTTACTCTCTTCTTAGCAGAATTGTAGACGTCTGAGATAAAAATCTGTGTTATTTCATCAGGATGAGATATGATAGCATCACTGGGATAAGGTTACCAAGATCAGTATTTAGATGTTTTTGTTATTTCTTTGCTGTATTTTAAATTTCAAAGCTAGATCTGAAGCAAATTATTATTTGTCCCTTGATCAAAGTACTGCTTCGAGTAAGAGGTTGAACCAAGTTTTTTTTTTCAGAGGGACCTTCTTTGTAATGTTTTCTTTTTTGGGCCATTGTTTGCCTTTGCTCACTGTTATTTTGATTTTTCAGCCAGAGGATCCTTGTTTGCATCACTGTGCATGTTTATTTAAAATATGTATTTCATCCTAAAATCTAAAACTTCTATTTTCATATTGTCTAAGAAAAAACTTGCTAATTATAGATTTAAGTTTCAATCTTACAATTCTTTGCAATGTAAGGTTACACATGATGTGGCTAAAATATTTTTTTATTAAACTTTAATATTTTTTACAGAACTATTTTCCTGTCTATTTATTATGTGCTCATCTACTTTGTCACCAATAGACTTGTTAGAGTCATTGGGATGACCTAGTTATAAAATGGTAATTGTGTGTATTTTTGCACACACGAGAGCATGAATGGATTAGATCAGTATATGCCTCGTTGATAGCTGAGGTCTAGCCAACAACTGAAAAAGAGCTGTAAAGCTTAGCACACTATGACTGATTGTTTCAACAAAAACTTAAACTTCATATGTGTCCTGGTTAGAACGGCTGGGACCAATTCATCCCTGGATGGGTGTAGCCCAAGGCTGTGTATTCTATAGCCTCCATGCCATTTCCCAAGAACTGCTGTCAGTAGAGGCCTGCAAGGTGGGAAGATGTTCCTGTACCCTTTTATGGAATTCCCCACTCTGATATCCTTATATGGAATTCCCCGCTCTGATAAGAGGGACTGAGCATCCACATGCCCTTTTATGGAATTCCCTACTCTGAGGGAGGGACTGAGCACTCCCGCCTGAACTGGAGAGTATATAACTGGGAGTTTCAGAGCCTTGGGGCTCTCTCTCGTGGGACCCAGAGGAAGACAGCAGACCACCGCTGCTCCCAACCAGGCTGAGACCACCACCCTCGACTGGACTGCAATCACCACTTCTGACCAGACTGCAGCAGCTCTCCCACCAGCAGGTTTTATCCCCTCTCCCTTTGCTTTGGACTTGGGGGGTGGGCCAAGGTACACCACTTTTGTTCATACCCCAGGGTGCTGGGTTTGTACATTTGGGTTTTGTGGATTAAAACCAATTGTCTGTCTGTATAATTGTACTTATTGCATTATTTTAATAAATTGTTATTCTGACTTATAAATCTCTCTTTTGAATTGAGTTCATTTTGCCTTGCTGGTTAACTTTTAAACCAGCACAATATGCACTCAAAAAGACATTTTTCCCTTAGGGCTGAAACTTTCCCTTACACTTTTTGTAGAAGAAACAAGTGTGTCCCATCCTCAGAGTGCTTTCTGTCAAAAGACAAGGAGACAGAATACAGCAGACAGGACTATAGCTGATAAAATAGAGAAATCACAAATATGTGGTTATGTTTTGTAGAAATTCAGGCTGAACCTGTCTGTTCTACACAGCTAAATGCAGAGCCAAGGTAAGCACAATGTGTAGTCCACACCAAGTGAGATTTTAAAAAAGGAAGAGTTAACCACGTATCTACTTCTGGCTCACTAGGATAAGACTTCTTTCCCTTTATAAGGGAGAGGGATTGATGCAGAATACTGCTGACTTTGATGGCTGCTAGAGCCCTGCAGCTGAGATGAAATGGAAAGCATCATGCAGCAGGAGCAAGCAGCTGCTCTCATTTACCCTGGACACCCACAAAGGGCTGAGCAGCCTTTGCCTTTGAATTGACATCATGTTCATGCTGGCAGCACCAAAACACTCAGTGTCTCATGAGAGTGGGGAAAAAAAAAAGACTGTCTGATAGACAAGAGTCATCATTGTTATCAGGAGATGCAGTGTGCTTGATCCCTCTGTACTGAGGGAACAAAGGGCCTGGAGATCTGCCAGCTCTCTACAGGTAAGTAATCCTCTGCTGGCAGCAATCTTCCTTGCAGCCATCGGTGGAGCAAGTTCATAAAAATCCTGTCACACTGCAGGAACTATTCTGGTAGCAGGCTATAGTTATGCAGCTCTAGCAAGTAAAGTGGTGTATGATACCTGGTGTGATGCTAGAGAGGGGGACTTTGATCAGAAACCCATGGTGGGAAAAAAGGCTGTATAGTGCCAGTAAAGGAACATAAAGCTGAGAGGTCAGTACGGGATAGCAATAGAGAACCCCTTGGTGAAGCATAGAATCCATCAGAAGTAGCAGGTGTTTAAGGAAGCTAGTACTTTGTGGTTTAGGGTGCTGTGACAAGTGATCTGAGGGTCAGGCTTCTATGGCAATGCTGAAAATCATTCCGAGTCATCTACATTTATTTTTGTGGCAGCATTTAATGTGTTCATTCCTAACAGGTTTGCTGTATAGCCTAAAGTAAAGTTGTCATAAAGCCAGAGGTCGGTTTTTGGTGCTTAGTCACCTTTAAACATTAACCTGAATAAATAAATTAGTCAAAAAAATTCTAGAGTAGGAGTGATTTCCACCTCTTAAAATTGAAGGGAATATCCTCATATTTAAGATCAAGTCCCTGTATGGTAATAACAGCTATTGAGTTGCATTTTAGAGCCTGACTCAAATGTGGAATTCCCTTCTTCTGGCATATCAAGTAAATTTAGGTGTGCTTATAAACATTGCCCTCCTACAGACCTTAGAGCAGGGGAAAAGAAAGTATTATTTTAGACTAGTGTTTTCACAAATTTTCCTTGTACTTTTCAGTTGCAATTTCCAAAAACTTGCCTGCACTCAGTAGCACTCTACTTGCCTGGATATTTCACTCTTCATCTTGAGTCAGGAAGGCAGTTGTGTCATCCCTAATATTTGTGCCCACATGGGTACAGTCAAGGGTTTTGCCCTTTGTTCCAGGGCAAGCACTCTAGGGGCTAGAGAAATCTGTGCCAACCCTGATCATATTTTTCTTTCATTCTTTCCTTAAGGCAAACTGTCTCTGCCAGACCCTCTTCTCTGCTGTCCATGTTTTCAGTTAATATTTCACTGCAGATTCTGCTTGGCTGACACAGGAACTCTCCCTAGTTTCCTAGTTTAGGGGGTTTTTTATTTGTTTGTTTGTTTGCTTGTTTTTTACCTCCTGGATCAGACTGATAATAGTAAGATTTTAAAGTATTCTTCCAGCTATCCCAGTAGGTTCCCTCTCATTCTGCTACATCAGCATTTCTTGGGTGTATTTGGACAGCTTGTTCTCATAATCCATCAGGCTCAAGGAATTTGATTGATTGCTGTTGCTGCCAGGAGATTGTACCTGCTGCTTGAAGGTACCTGTACCCCATCAGCAACGGGTGGTTTGTGCTTGCTATTACATCCTGTCAACAATTGAGCAACTCCTCATTTATTCATGAAGCACGCTCCGTCTTTTCTTGGCTCATGACTTCATGTTATTGCTGCCAGCTGCATTTCCTTCTTACCTGTCTGCACAGCAATTTGACTTAATGCAGTCATTGAGGAAGCTGTATACAGATACTTTACTCCAAGTAAGCACAAGCTTTAATCAATTTACCTGCTTCATTTCAAATTAGTTAAAAGTTTGAAGCAGTCCACAGTTGTGCTTGCTTTCTGTGGCCCAAGATCAACAACTGTTTGTCCCAAATCCTCTGGGTTATTTCTTGCGTAAAGCAGTAGTAATTTTATGTGCTGCACCCCCCATGCCTTGGGATGGGAATCTATCTGTTATTATAAATGCTGCTGTTCCCAACTCCCTTTTATTTTCTCATTTATATTTATCATCCTCTAAATCATCTTCCTCTGGTGACTTCAAATCTAATTCTCCATCACTTTCTGTAGATAGAGCACCTATTTTTAATTTTTGCATCCTGATCTGCTTTTGTAAGCATCTAATTTTAGCTTCACATTTAATATGATCAGGTTCCCCTGGAATTCTCCTTTGCTCTAGGGTGAATGGCTGCACTGTGCATGTTAATCCTTCTGCTGGATTCTGCTGCTTTATGCTTCTATGGCTTTTCTTTCCCTTTTTCTGAATTAAAAATGCTATATTTCACTATTACCTCTATGAGCCACTAGACAGTATTCCTTTTTGAGTTCTGCAGTATTTTCTTTTAAAACCAGTTTTCAGATCAAAGCAATTATTTTCTGCTTTTACTCTGGCTCTATCAGCACAAAATGTTTTAGCTGTTCCCTCAACAGTCACAGTAACACAGGAATTGTATCCTTGGGTTTCATTTTGTAATCATTCTACATGTAGCTAGAGAGCATTTATTCTATATCATGCCTGGTCCTATGAGCTGAAATGACACACCCTTTCTTCCACAGAGAGATGTCTGTAGCCTGGACGATCTTTGGGTTTTTTTTTATTTTTCTTATATTGCTCAGATTTTCAGTTGGCATCATTGGGGTGACATTAGTGGCTTGTCAAAGTCTCTGTCTGCAGTGACATAAAGCTTGTTGTGCAGCAAGGAAACAGAAGACTGGGCAAACTATAAAGGAGAGATTCTGGCTATCTAATGAAAAAAAATTCTTTTTCTGGTACCACACAAGAGCCGTAGTCTGCATACAGCAAAAGGAGGCTGTTGATGTCTTCAGATTGAATTTTAACTACTCTTAAACAAGGGCTTCATGGAGTGTTGCATCTCAGGAGCCTTCCCACTCTTCAAAAGGGCCATTGTTGGCTTTGGGCTTTTTACTGACATGGTGTGTTTCTAGTGCTCCTGGAACACCTCACATTTACACCATGGAAACAGCCTGCAATTCAACTGAACGTTTTACTGTGAGCTGGCCAGTAAACAAAGATCTCTGGTCAGAAGCAGAAGAGGAGAGAAAAGGACCCAATATTCTAATAATGAGTCCAAAGGAGAAAAATAGAGGTACAATCCTTCAAGCTGCAGCAGCTCAGAGCTGAATTTGGTGTTATTGGAAATTCCCAGTAGTGACTGTGGCATATGAGGCGTCTTTATGACAGTGTACAAGCAATGACACCAGGCACAACACCAGCAGTGTTCCTGGAGAGTACTCACACAGAAATAGGCAAGCTACTGGCAAGGTCTCTTTCCAGAAGATCATGGATGCAGGTAGATCAGGCAGTTACAGTTAAAGAATAAAATAGTGTGTGCCAGTAGAGGAGATGAGGGTGATTATTTTTAGCTTTAGTTTCCACAGAGACTATGCATCAAAAGTAATGAGAAAGGACTGGCAGGCACAGGAGGCTTTTTACACTCAGCTCCATGAAGAGCATCTTGAGGATGAAGCTAGACCAAGAAATGAATTTGAGAAATGCCTTGCTAAAGTAAAAAAGGCAAGGGGCCTGTATTTTGACCTGAGGCCCTGGAAGCTCTTAATCAAGGAAGAAATTTAATTTTGAACTTTACTGATTGTCTGGTTTAGCATGTGACCAATGTGGGCACTTCAGAGCTTTCAACATTTACTTGATGGAAAGAGAGCAGGACTTCTGGAAACTTGGAAGATCTGTCCCTTCTTCTTCAAGAGACCATGAACCTATTTTTCGGTGAACTGGGCAGTTACTTGTATGGATTTACAGCAAGTGCAATAGGCCTTCAGGCTGGAGTGACAGTTTCACCAGCCATGCATCTGTGCTGGTGCCCCAAGCTGGGCAGGACTGTGAGGGATCAGTCTCTTAAGGATTAATTCCTTGGGCTACCCTTCAGTTGCAACCATGTGTCGTGACCCACAGCTAACAAAGCTGAAAGGACAGTGAATCTTTCATGCAAGAAGAGCCAGCAGAGTGATTGCATCCAAGTTCTGGCTGGAGGCACCCTGGGGCTGGCTGCTGCTTTATTTTGTTAAGTGGGTAAGTTCATGCTCTTTTAACTCTGGGGGGAAAGCTTCTGGTTCAGTGATGGGGCGGGATCTCTTCAGGAGCATGTAAGAACATGGTACTGATTCAACACCAGCTGTGCTTGGGAGCATCCACCTTTATCCTGACTTACCTGTTGGAACAACACTGAAATACTGTCCTGAAATGCCTGTTACTTTAGTTCTTTGTTGATCATCTGAGCTGGCTCCCTCACTGAAAGAACAACAGTGAAGGGGAGAGGCGACAAAAGGGTATAAGGTACCAGGTGCAGCTCCACTGGTCCTGGAGGGTGCACTAAAGCAGGTTAGCTGTCAGGTGTCCCACAGAGACTATCCACTTTATGCAGACAGGGAGAGTTACACCCATGCTCTGCTCACTTCCCCTTTCCCTTTCATCTCCTTCAGAGCCAGTGGGGTTGATAGGATGCCAAAACACATCCTGGTATCAGGCAAAGTAGTTGGGGAAATTCCTCATTGAGGTTTATACATCACTATTAGGACTCTGGTCTCTCTGGGCAGGCTCAGAAGATGTCCTCAGAGATCTAGGGAGGCTTTTGGGGTGATGATGAACAGACCAAGGTGCCTAATTTCTTCAGGCACTTTCAGAGCTGGGTAGCAGCCAAATAGGTGAGGTTGCACATTTGGATTTTAGTCCTCACTTTTTAATCTTTGGTAGCACACAAACACTGCTGTATTTTGGTATAGAAAATAGCAAAAACTTCTAACAGAAGGTCACTGGCAGAAACTGGTGTCAATTTTGATCTCTCTGAATGCTGTCACTTTTCTAAACTGCTTTTTTCCCTCCTGGAATTTTGGGGGAATTTCTGACCTTATAGATGCTTCTGCCACAGGCTACATACTTTACCACCTGTAAGGATGTTTCAGGGTAAGTACATTAGACAACTATCTCTGGTACTGGTAGTTAATAGAGAAAGATCAGCCTCCTCTGTAGGTGTCAGTGTGGTTATACTACTTGCATGAAGTGGGAAGATGCAATCAGGTTCGATATTGCAGGGAGGAGCATTTAGAAATTCAGTGTGAAAATGGATTGAATATGGTTCCTTATTGCTTTGGCATCCATGGCTGTGCAGAAAACTGCCAGAGTATCTTTTCCCGCCTGCTAGCTGCATGGATATAAAAGAGTAGTTGATGAAGTACAGGAGCATCCATCCTGCGGCTCAGATAAACAGCAAGAGATGGTTTCAGTTCAGTGTGGTGAAGGGAAGAGCTCAAAATAAACAGCAAATAGGTCATTTGATCGTTCCTGAAGTGACCCAGTGTGCTCTGCAATGGATTAATCCTATAAGGGGATCATCTCTCTCTGGATACGCCTGCACCGCTATGGTGCCTTACGCTCGGGTCTTTTTCCTCGTTTTTCTCAAATTTACCTTTATTGCTGCCTTTCCCCTCTCTCCGGGACCCCTGCAGCCACCGATCCTCCGCTGGGCCGGGTGCGGGCAGGAGTACGGGTTACCCCGAGAGGAGCATCCTCGGCCGGCGCCGCCTCTCCCCCGCCGAGCGCTGGGGGTCGGTGTTGCCCCGCGAAGCTGCGGCAGCGCCGGGGCCGCTCCCCGGTCAAGGGGGGCCTCGGGTTGGGCTGGGGGAGCCAAAGCTGGGCCCGCACCAGGAGCAGGGCTCGGCCGGGGCAGTTCGGACACGCCGCAGCCGCGCTGCCGTGGGAGGAACGCCGCGTCTCAACCTCCCTGTTCCAAGTGCGGGGCATCCCCTGCCCCCCTCTTTGCCAGCAGCTCCCGGACGGCCCCAGAGGAAGTTTCAGCTGACCGGTCACTGACAGGATGGAGGAGAGCCCTTCTCTGCCATTGCGTTCAGTAACTGCAGGAGAGGAGAGATGGCCGGAGCCAGCTGGGACCAGGCCAGCAAAGGGGGTGCTGGAGCTTCTCCTCCTCCCAGTGCCAGTGTGCCAAGGTGGCAACGTATTGTGACAGAATCACAGAATAGTTAGGGTTGGAAGGGACCTCTGGAGATCATCCAGTCCAACCCCCTTGCCAAGGCAGGGTGGCCTGGACCGCGTCAAGGTGAGTTTGGAATGTCTCCAGAGAGGAGCAATCCATGACCTCCTTGTCCTGGGCAGCCTGTTCAGTGCTCTCTCACCCTCAGCATACAGAAGTTCTTCTTCATTTTGAGGTGGAATTTCTTGTTTTTCAGTTTGTAATCATTGCTCCTCGTCCTCTTGCTGGGAACCACTGAAAAGAGTCTGGCACCATCTTCTTGACATCCACCTTTGCGATAGTTATATGTATAGATGAGATCCCCTCTCAGTCTTCTCTGGACTAAACAGGCCCAGCTCCTGCAATTTCTCATCATAAGAGAGATGTACCAGACCCCTAATCATCTTTGTTGCCCTCTGCTGGGCCTTCACCTTGTTTTTCTAATGACAGCCTATCTGGACCTCATAGCAGGCCGTATCCAGAGCTGTGTTAAATGTGCAGATCCAGCAGCTTGTGGGCCCACCAGCTCTGCTGCCTACAGGGACAGGAACCAGCCTGCAAACCCTCCCCAGTGGAGGTTCCTGTGCACCGGGATACTCACAGCTCCTCTGGAGACAGCTGGCTGTCACAGCTGGCCAGCAGGCAGGGCACCATGGGCTGAGCCTGGTGCGGACACCTGGGCAGGGCAAACTGTGCTGTGCCAGACAGGGCTAATCCAGGTGTGCCCTGTGCAAACACAGCACTGCTGCTCCTCTCTGCATGGCCCCAGCTGGTACCCACCATAAGGAATTGAAAATTAGGCACAACTGCTTGGCCGGACCAAGCCATGCCTGCCTGTATCGTTCACCAATTGCTGTTTTCAAGCCTTGGAAATTAAGCATGCACCTTGCCTCAAAATTAAATCCCAGGACATCTATCGATCTGCAGGAGCTGGAGTTTGGTGCCAAAGATCTGCTGAGTGGTATCATCCTTGAATAGCATTCAGAGTAAGATCTATTTACCTATTTCGATTTCAAGGGTGTCTTTCACTCAATAACCGAGTCACTGCAGAAACTCGCTGAAGCTTGTATTTGATTTCTTCAGCCTCCTGGCCAGGCCATGCTTTTCTACAGGGCTGCTTTGAAGCACATCTCAGAACATGCTTCCAGATGCAGAATTACCCCAAGTCAGATCCCAGAAAGCATCCTGCAGACCTCGGAGCACTAACAAAGCATGGGTGGAGCCCCATTGCCTCCTGAGCAAAGCCTGGCTGACCTCTGTGCTCAGCTTTCTCCTGCTTTTTAGCTTCCTCAGGTGTTGGTGCAGCAGTACAGACCTGCCCTCACGTGAACAACCTGGGCTGAGATTCAGCTGATTTACCTTTGTGTGTACTGCGGAGGCATTGATATCTGATCTAGACATCCAGAAAGAGCTGCTTTTAGGGCACAGTTCATCTGATCTGTTCTAGACATCTTGTTTTTAATATGTCACCCCCAAAGTGCTCTTTCTCCCTAGTGACAACATGGGGAGCTTGCAGTGACTAGTTCAGACAAACTGTGTGTGGATGGAACCCAGTGGGGGCCATGCCCATGTTCAGCCTTTCATCGGGAGCCTTGTGAAGGGCCTGTTGTGGCTGGGGGTGTCAGACAACTAATCATCCAGGGCATGTGCAATATGTAGTTGTGGCTGCTTGCTGTTAAAATGCTAGTTCCATTACGGCATTCCAATCCGGGTCTCATAAAATAACCTAACAGCCAGATTTTTGCTCATAAGGAGGAGGATTGTTCCCCTTGTCTGACACTCCTTCTCTGAGGGGATCCAAGCACCATCTCCTGCTCCTAGTGAGCAGTCACGAAGTGGCAGCCTCCTGGGGAGACATTCTCCATCTCTATAGCTGAGGTTGTTCTCACATGTCGGTCTCTTTGAGACCATGAGCAAGTACAGTATCAGCACTTTTACATTCCTTGATAAAAATGAACTTACACTGCCAGAAGCTGAGATTTCTGATGTTTGTTGCAAGTGCTATTTATAACACCAGCATGAAAGCAGAACATTTATGCATTAAAAATACGTTCAGTTTGGAGAACAGCACAAAAATCTCAGTAACATGGTCACACATAAGCTACTGGGGGAATTAGACCCAGTCAGGAAAAGTGACCTGTGCTCTTCCCTAATCACTCTTGATACTTTCAGAGCAATGTCAATCCACAGGTCTCAAAGCACTTCAGAGATGTGCAATAGGAAGAGACACAGCAATCAAAACCTGTGGCAGAACTCGCACTGATTTTTGTAGACTTCAGATAAAATTAATGCATAAAACGTAATAGGCAGCTGTAGGTCAGGAACTGTTGCCCTCAGCCACTCTGCTTGAACCACCAGGTGCCTTTCTTCTTCTTCTAGTCTAAGATTATCAGTGTCATCACTCTAAAATAAATGGCACCAAAGTTCACACCTTGTATCTGTGTTCGCAGAGACTAACAGAGCTGTTGAAGACTAGAGAGGCTGTTCCCATCATCTAGTCTGACCCTCTACAGCACACAGCAGCCATTCTTGACTTCTGAAGGCTTCAAATGATGGAAAGGCCTCCCGGTCTTAGCTAATTGTTCCAATTATCAAATGCTTTTATTGTGTAGAGCTGCACTTAATCTTTGCTTTCAGTCTATCTAGTGCCAGTTCAGGACACTGAATCTGTGCTTTAGAAGACACTCACAAATGAAAAAAGCACAAAAGCTGGTTTGACAATTAGAAGAGGTTTCTAACATTTAAAGCTGCACTGCACAGCATATTATAATTTCTATTTTATGAAAAATATATGTTGCTTTTGCGTATATTCAAAGCATCATTTCACTTATTGTTTGATATAAGTAACAGGTGTACATCTAGGTCAGTCAGTTCTGTCTTCTCAGCTTTTGCCTTACCAAAGGCAGCCCAGAGAAATGAATGGCTGTGCTTTGGCTCAGTGAGACCTAAAATCATTCTTGATTACTTCATGGGGAGGAACATCCATAGTAGCAGGGGCAGCTAAGAGGAAAATGGTGCCACTTTTGCATAAAGCTATTGCTCATATAAAGCCTTGTTATTCCTTGATTTAGTAGATCCCAAGCAAGGAAAGTAGTCCTGTCCAAAACAAGGTCCTGCAGTTAAGATCAGGATGAAGAATTAGTTGGACCTGGAGATCAGCATAGCACATATTGAAGCAACAGTGTAAGGATTGGTGAAGCTGCAGTTTGTGGTCAGCACACTTGTTTACCCATGCAGCACCGACTCACAGGATGCTTTATCTTGCCTAAACCTGCCCCCCGACACCCTGCCCCAGACTCTGAGTATACCAGCTAAACACACCTCAACCAGGTGCAAGCATTCTGGGCAGTGTTAGCTCTTGGATCTGGTGTCTCTTCAGTCCACGGCACCTCTTTGTGGAACTCTCAGTTGTTCTGAGGTTAGAGTATGTGAGCATTGCTATGAGAGTAGTTGCTTTTCACCCAGCTGTCGGCCAGCTGTCAGACACTACAGCACCAGCAGTGTTGGCTGTGACAATGTGTTTGCATACATGGGTGTTCGGAGTATGCTGTGATACCATGTTATGCTGCTGTTGAGTTTTTTTTCCTGAGAAGGCAGGAAATAAGTTTGTGCAGTTCAGAGGCAGGAAGAGTAGTAAAGAAAGAGGAGTATTCATCTGTCCCTTTGCAGATTTCCTGGCTGAAACTACAGCCTGTCTCTGCCTCCTTTTAAAAAAAAAAGGTATTAGCCTCTTAATCACTAAAGTAGAATGAGAGTAACTGAGGAAGCAGAGCAGCTGCCCTAGAGAAATGTCCAGGAAAGTAAATGCAAATGCCTGTGTGTCTCCCTGCAATGAAAACAATGCAGTTAACTTCTTCAGGTAACAAAATTTACCATTTGGAGGTGCCATGTATGCCTATGGGTAGCTTTGTGCCAGAGCTAGGAAGATCAGAGTTACAGTAGTACTACCACTTACTGCAGAGTTTCTCTATGTTACAGGAAAATCACCTGCATAGGAATCAAATGTATTGTATTTACAGCAAATAAATGCAAACAATAGTGGGTTGGAGCACTGAATGTGTGTCTGGGCCTGTTGATGCTGGAGGGTCAAACAACACTATGACAACTGCCAGGGACACAATAAACTGATAACATGCTAACAGAGTATAAATCACTCTTTCCTATCTCTATCATTGTGATATTCATTACATGCTGGGTTTCTGATTGTGCAATGAACCAGCATTTGACTGAAGGTGATTGGTGTTTTTAAGGGAAGTTGTTGCTGAGCCAAACCACTCCTTTGGAACACAGCAAAGGGTCACAACACCATGATGGGTGGTTTTGTGAAGTGTAGGATCCTCAGTGAAATTATCACGGACCTCTCCATCCAGGTCCTTCATTGTATGACAAAAAACAATGTCTCTGACAGACTGAATAAAATCTTCATTGACTGTCCCTGCTCAAGTTAAACCGAGTTTTTGTTTCATCACCTGGTATCAGCCCTTTATTGCCAAAAAACCTTT